GTATGCTTCTTGCTTCCGACACCTGATGTCTGTATAAAAAAGATGCTGATAAAATATATTAAAGCACATTTCTGGATATTATTGACTATTTTTTTTTTAGCCCACGTATTAACAACATTTTATTACTATTAAAATCGTAATAACAATTTTAAAATTGACAATTTCATATCTTGCAGTATCGATGAAGCGTTCGGTATTTAAAAATAAAAGAAAATTGTATTTTGTGATTGAACTAATTTATTTTTCATTTAAATAACAAGGATAAGGAATAACATAAACCATATATAAAATTTTATTACAGTACAAATAACAATATGAGATTATATTAATATCATTTTAAATTAACATCATATTAATTTTGTTCTGTAATTATTTATCATAGCTTACATTTATATAATAATAATTTATATCGATATCACATAGGTAGTGTTTTATAATTTTATTCTTATTTAGCTTGTAAAGAATATACACACACACACACACACACACACATATATATATATATATATATATATATATATATATATATATATATCGATATTCTTGAGAATTAAATTAAATTCTATATTTTAATAAATTAAAATTTTATAAATTTTTACGTAAAATTTATAATAATATTTTGACTATAAATAAACAAGAATAAAGTATCGGAAATTCTTTCTATATATTATAAAAATTATTTAATTAATACATTGTTTGTTTTTTTTAATTATTTAACTAATTTCATTATTAAGCACAATTATTTATACGTTTTTGTACGGAAGTTTTAAAATTAGTCCCATTGTTAAACTTTAATAGAAACATTTTTTTGTGTACGTAAAAAACTTTTGGCCAAATGTTTAAACAATAATTTGTAAGAGCGCCACAGATATAAGGTTTTTTTTTTTTATATTTTTTGACATGAAAACATGAAAAATTTACTATCGAAAGAAATTTCTGCAACTTTTATCATCGTTATGAAGATGTAATATTATATCGGTTGATTTCTTTTTGAAATACTATTTTCCATCTTTTGATATTGGTATATCAAATTTTAGTAAAAGATTTTTTTTTCAAGATGCGCTTTAATAGTGGAAGAGAATTTTTAATGTATTCGCTAGAATTTGCCGATTATACATTTTTTCTTTATTTACGTTAATATTTAGGAACGACGAGGCCCTTTAAAATATCAAAGCTATTTCCATCGGGATGTACTGTAAATTTCTTCCCGTTGGTTCCTTTAACTTCTAAGAATCCATAATGGTCAATACCCAATATTTTCACTTTCTGTGATGAATTATCTGGAAGTATCACTGTGATTTCAGCATTTCTGAAAGCATTTACATTTATTTATATATATATATATATATATATATATATATATATATATATATATATATATTGTGTTTACTTTTAAGTTATTAATGATACGTTTTAATATTTCCAACTTTACTTTATAAAGAACAAAAGAAATTTACAATTGAGTATACATATTCCAATACTGATCGTTAATAATTATTTTTAATAAATATTAATTATTATTTTCAGTTATTGTTAATTATATAAGTTATAGATTAGAGATTTTAATTAATGATTTAGAATGGTTTAGTAGCCTTATAATATAATTTAAATTACGTATGCATCCAATTTTTGTAGTATTGATCATACATATGATCAAGATTGCCGTTTTGTACAATATTTAGCAAACTTTCTATTTCACTAAATACACGAGCTAGAAATTCTTCATATGGCAACTGCTGTAACTTCAATTTTGAACTCTCGTTGTACTTGGTAATTATATCGTTAATGCAAGTTGTCGGTGAAGTATTAGAAAGATTAATGCCCACTCCTACAATATATAAATATTTAATTAGAAATAAGTGAATAGATAATTTTGAAGGTAAAATCATCATAATTTTAATTCTGGAAACGAATTACCTATATTACAAATAATATTGGACGACTGAATAAATGATGTAACAAGTATTCCACCAATTTTAGTATTTCCGGTATAGATATCGTTAGGCCATTTTATCTTCATATTGATGTCCTATTTAGAATGACAGGGCTCTTTAAGTTTTGTATTATGTAGCATAAAATCATTTCGTTTACTCAAAATATCTAATATATTATAAAAATTAATTTGTGAATATCAGTGTAAATTCTTCTATTATCAATCGTCGCAATTGAATGTAATATTATTGCATGTAATGGAAATTTCAACAAATTGCTTATAATTAAAAGGCCTCAAATTATTAAAATTTGTTTGATTTCCTTAAAATGAAGAATAACGTTCAATTCACTAATATGAGTACATAAATGTATCATGCAGGTGATAATTATTTATCATGTCAAATTTATAATCGTTATGGAAATTAGCCATATTAACTAGAGTTAATAATGTTAATTTCTGATATTAAGTCAATAATTACCTGATAACCTGGTTTTAATTTTACGGCGGTGATTATAGCTAAACTTGTTAAATATTGTATAAGTGATATTTTATCTCCGAGCACAGATCTTATTGGAATGTGGAGTTGCAATGTAAACATAGCGCAACCTTTTGGGCTCAGCCACACGTTATCACCTCGTCCTTCGATTCAATAATTAAAATATAATATAAATTATATCGATTAATGAGGATATAAATTTCAATCTATCTATTGTGAATGGCATGTACGAGATATTGTGAATATAAATTTCTTTTTCATTCTCTTTTTCTCATTTCACGAAATTTGAAAAATTATTTCTGACTCTATTATATTAACAAATTAACTCTATTGATATTTTGGCCACGAAGCGTCCAATTGTTAATAGAATAATGTTTTTAATATATACCTTGACCTTTAGTTTGTTGGTATGGTATAACAGCTAAGCCATGATGTAAAGCCAATCCATTAACAACGTAATTAGATGATGTCATGACATCCGCATAAATGACCAAACGTCCAATTTCCTTAGTATTGAGATTCTACATGGAATAAAATACAAAATATTAATGGTCGAGAATTTTATAAAAAAAAAAAAAAAAAAAAAAATTCAACAACATTTATTTGCTACTTTTATCATAACATTTTATTCTGAAATTCAATCATATAAACGCTTACAATTAAATATATAATATTTTAATGTAATCGTTCGTAAGTGTTTAATATGCGTGTGTTTTTGTGTTATCTATTTTTACATTTCTAATTGCCTTGCCGTTACAACATTACAAAAAAAAAAAAAAAAAAAAAAAAAAAAAAAAAAAGTGTCATTAATATTGTCGAAAAACTTAAAAATTCACTAATAATTGAAAATCATCGATTTAAAATGATACATACAGTTCGTGGGCATGAATGAATGAATTGACTTACAAGTTAAGCATAATTAATTGTACAGTTATGAAATTACCTCAAAATATGTTACAGTTGAAAAATTCTCCGGACATCTGTGTATAAAAACAGGGAGAAAAGCAGACGATGCAGGTTTTGTAATTGCGGAAGTATTGCAAAATTGTATCTCTAATTTCGATGTTTTTAAAACATCATTTGGATGGAGTATGTCCTTCAATCGTTGCATCATTTCCAACTTTAGCTGTACGTATATAAGACGTATTACATATATATTTTGTGTGCAAACCATCATGAAGTACGTGGTGGTATGGTTTATGTGATACTTTCAGCATGAGAATATAATAAGAGTACTGTATCATTTAGTATCTTCTTTAATCTAGGAATAAGTTGAATTTTGTTTATGATTTATCATTTGACTTTTACGAATAGCAACACATGGAAGAAAGACTCGAATTATTAATGAAATAATTAAGATAAAAAATATATTCCAGAATTCAATAATTATTTTACTCTTAAATAAATTTGCGAATAAAACTTTTTAATGTATGTGTGCACGTAATTCATACATACGTAATTGATATTAATATTTCATATTAACGTGGCATTTATACTACATAAAAATAGGCATAGGCAATTCATAAAACTCATTGTAAGAAATTTGCTTTTAATTATCTGTAAATTATAATGTTAATTTGAGTAGAAATGTTGTAAATGTATCATAAATGTAAGTGATTTTTAATATTTTTCTTTTAATTTGATATATTATTAGAGTAATTAATTCATACTTAAAGTATATTCTCACATCGTTGTTCGTATTGTCGTCATGATTTTGTTGGATGCAATACGTAAATGAATGTACAGAATAATGTAAATTATCATCTAATCATTAAGTAAAAAGTGTTCATTATATAAGCGGTTTTAATCTACTCTACACAGATTACTTTTATTAACAATATGATTAAAGTAAAATTCTATCTCTAATTCTACCTCGTGTCTTCCCAGAAAAAATCCCGAACTATATGTATAGTTCATCTTTGGCTGCGAATCAACTTCAATGCCCAGGTGAGTACTGAGAATATCGCTGAATATTTCTAATCGTGTTGCGTTGCTGTCCTTGAGTGTCGTAAATTTATTTTCCTCAAACTCGTACTGGTAAGGATCAACTTCCAAATGGATTTGGGAGAATACGGCTTGGCCACCGCTTTCCAATTGATTTGCAAAGAGAATACAGGGCGTATGCCAGGTTTCTTCCGAGCCAAGAATCTTTAGGTCGAAAGTGTGTTTCTTGCCTGACTGATCGCATATATTTGTTGAGACTGGAATTGGCGATGCTGGTGGTCTAGAGAAACTAATTTCTCTTTTATTATAAATAAGCATTGTTGAATAGTAATAAAATATATATTTATTATTAAATTTTAATATTTTCACGTAACTCCTCGATCAAATACCAAAGTCTAATTTTTTTAACGTATTTATTACAAAATTTTTATTATTATTTATTTATTTATCTATTTTTTTTTTTTTTTTAATGTGTTTTTTTTAATGTGTTCTAAATTTAACAATTTAGAAATTATCCAGTATAAAATACTTGTACGAGAAAATTCATTTATTTTAATTCAACAAATCAATCATTTTTCAGAGCATTGATACAGTTAATGTAATCTACGAATAGAATTTGTTTTAAGAATGTAAAGTTTCGAATAACATTTATAACTCTTACTTTGATTCCTCTAAATCTTGGGAAAATTTTGTTTTCACGGGCGATGCTTGATAGCAAAAAATATGGTGCAGGAGACACACATATTTCCATTTTCCATATGAAAAACGAACCAATTCGTTCTCTCGTATTTCCGCAGTTTTAAATGCTGGAATGAAAATCTTTAAAATATCAGAACAAAGAGCTAAAAGCTTTCCTCCGCGAACGATGAACTCCACCACTTGCGACGCAACGTCCGGTTCAACATTACCACATACAATTATCAAATTTGTTTGTTCCATCCACATGTCCTTTTGGGCATCTTGCATTGATAATGGATAGATTGCGTATCTACAGAAAATTATTATTGGTCTCTGTCTCTTTCTCTGCACGCACATATAAACATTGTTTTACATACTTATTTTCTTTTAAAGTTGTTCGGAGCACACTACAAACATTATCATTTACAATTGCACTGTCGGCGCATATCAGAATATTCGGTCTTTTGGCATTATTATCACCAATCTCGTTATTATCACCAATCTCGTTATTATCTGGTAACGAATGCCTACATACAGGCAAATAGATATATTATTATTATTATTGTAATATTGGTTAAAAGTAACGCTTAGATTGTTCATGTTGCATTGCATATTGTATTTAAAAATTTCTAATTATTATATACATACTTTTAATTTTTTAATTCTTAAAAACATGTTCTCATTAATTGTTCTACTACAAATAAATTACATCGATTGCTCTATTACATTAATAAAACATCACATGTATAATAGATACCTGCGAGATGTGATATCAATATCTGTAAAATTTTCTTCCAAACTCTCTTGTAATGGAAATTTGTTTAATTCGGAATGACTCGAGTTAGCTGGTAATTCTCCAGGCGAATTCAATAAAGTCGAATTAATGGAATGATTTGAATCTTGAGAGAGTTCTTCATCTGTGGTATTATTTACGGCAGTAGACATTATTGAAAGATTTGTCATTGGTGTGCTTATAACATTATTCTCTATGTAAGAAAAGGTATTTCTTATTATTTTTGAAATTAATCAAAGTAGATATGTTAAATATTAAAATGAAAATCATTTATAAATTGGAGAATTATAGGACGGTACAACTAACAAATATTCTACACATTTCCATTTCTATCTTTAAAACTGTTTTTAAAAATATATTTATTCGTACCCGATGTTTCTGCCAATGTACTTTCGTTTATTTTCGGTAATTCCAAAATTGATGCTGGATCTTCCAGTATCAACTCCATACCACGAGTTTCATTTATTTTTTCTGGAAGTTGTTGAGACATAGATTTTGCCATTTGACTGATTTGCTTTAATTTATTAACATACGAAGGCCATTGTGAACAGCTAATTATCTCTAGAAAAGAGTATACGATTATATAAATAATTTCTATTCATGAATACGTATTTGCATTTGTGTATTAATCATTTAGAGATACGTACTACTACTTTCTAATAAGTTAAATTTTTCATAATTACAACTGCATGGATCACCAGTAATTGAAACAGCTAGAAGGTCGATGAGGGTTATATTATAATTGTTACAAGATGATAAAGAAGAAAATTTTTAGTAAACATAAGATATTTACATGCGACACGATTTATATACAATCCATTATTTATGAAGAGTTGTCCTTGCATAATTGTAGTAAAAAATCTTGTAATATGATCCAAATCTGTCTCAAGTATTACACCAAAATTATTGTCAGTTATCCAGGTAATGATTAAACCGTAATCTTCAAGCTGTCGATTCAACAGTAATAAAATAATTATTGATTTTTACAATTTTTGTTATATATTATATTATATATTAACTATTGAATTTATAATTAAATTTTATTTTCATTATGTTGAAAGATTTTAGAATGTTACATCTAGATATATTAATTTGATAAATTTTCATTAAAAATTACTCTTTCATGAATTAATATATATTCTCTTTTGTTTTTTTGTTTTTTTTTTTTTTTGTTTTAACAAGTTTATCCCTTATTCATTATTTTTTAGATATTCAATTGTCTATTTAAATTAAGAAAAAATACAATATAATAATTACCTTTGTAGCTGTCACAGATCCATATTGATAATATTGCAATTCTGTTTCAATGAGCAGATAAATTTTGGCATTTTGTAATAGAGACGTTTGTGCATTATTATGAGAGAATAATGGAAATATAGTTTTTCCACGTGGAAATAACAACCAGTCTGATACGTCCACTTTTTGCTATGCAGAAATTTAAAAACATTTATATGTCTTAACACTTTACATTATTTATCAATAGTATTAGAATACTATTGCAAAGATTCAGTAAAAAAATGCATTTTAAATTTAAAAAAGAAGCTATATTTTTCTATTATAATTACTTGAGGATATATTGTATATAATTGTTGGTTTCCTTGGTACCAAATAAGATCTCCCAATTTTCCATCAATACTATTACAACATAAATGAGAGCTTAATATATTGACATGGTTAGCATCACCTATAATAAAATTAACAATATAAACATTGAAATAAATAAAATCGAAATAATTACATTAAAAATATTTGAAGTTTAAATTGTTACCATTTTTAACTAATGATTTATTTGGATTATAAAACATTATAGACGGCTTTAATGTTTCAGAATCTTGTAAAATTGATTGGAAACGTGCTCTTAAGGATGACAACCTCCATGACTGCATCCAAGTTGCAATCATATAGAAAATTGTTAAAAACATCTCAGTGAAATGACAAACGTTATGAAACAGTTGCTTGTCTCAATTGTTTTTGATAATTATTAATGTTGCTTGTTACGAAGAGATAGCATTTTAGAATGGCCTCACCTATTAATTGCACAAATGGAATATGAAAGTATGGTTTATAGTTTAAAATAATTAAGGAAATTAAATCAATTAATAAAGCCAATCAAACGTACATATTGCATTAAAATCTATAAGAGTACTGAATTAATATGCTTATTAAAAAAAAAAAAAAAAAAAAAAAAAAAATTTAAATATTATTATTTTATACTAAAAGTATTGAATAAACGATAATTTGTAATAATAATAAATGCCAAATATAAAAGTTTGGTTATATGAAAATTTAATCAATACTTTTAATATACATTGACAAGGGCTTACAAACTTAACAAAAATCTTTTTGTATCATTCTTTTCATTCCAGTAAAACATAACAACAAGGCCCTTATATTATTTATTTACAAATAATGCGTTTTTTCGATTCTTAATTGTTAATTGTTACATAATTACCTAAAAAGGGCTGATAAATGCGAGAAAGTGGAAATCCAGTGAGAATGTCCAGCTTAGGGGATAGTGGCAACGCTGGAACAAAAACAGTACATTCACGTGACCAAAATTGTCAGAACATTTATTTGGGAATTATATTTTTATAGGAATATAAGTTTTATAACTGCACTTTATCCCCTTATGCACAAGTGTGAAAAAATTTAATTTTTCATTTTTACTCTAACAATTATCGTACTTTTACTTTTTATAAATACTTTTCTTAACCTAACATCGTATTACGCGGAGGAAAATTAAATTTTACCATGCGAGTCTTATATAACTCGTAATAATTGGCAAAATCATTTTTACGATTGAGAATAAGTGTGGTCGAGAATAAAAGCATTTTAAATTTTAAATTTATAGCTAAATCAATTATAACTACTTTATTTAATGAGATTATAATAATAACGAGACTCCATTATTTGATATAAGCATTCGATGACACAAATACCGGCGTATCACTTGAATAATTAATTTAATAATATAATTATGGCAATAGATTGGAATTACGACTCTAATATGATTAAATTCTCATAATAATTTAATACAATTGCAATTAATTAGCAGCATTGACATTTTTCAATGGTGAGAAAACTTTAAATATTAAATACAGCCTCTAGTTAAAAAAATATAAAATTTAAATAATCAGGGTAATTAACTAGTAATAATAGGAAATAATAATAACGAATTTCTTAAATATTATTTCTTACTTTAATTGTGTCTGATTTTGCATTGGCATAAGATAAAACAATGAATTTTTTCTCTTGATAATATTAATATCGTATTACCGTCTATTACTGACTATTCAAAGAAATTATCAAAATTTATTTGTGCAATCTGCAATTTTCAAGTCGACAACATACCTTTAAAATAAAATCAAAATTAAATAATTAAAATTGACTACTAAAGAGCACTAATGAAAATGGAAATTAATTTAACGCATAAATAAATTAATAATTTGCTATTACAGATTTTATTCCATGCTTATCTGAGATGTATTAAAAATAAAATTACATCGTTCACTTCAAATTAAAAATGAAAGTTCAATTTTCAATTAATATTACTAAATAACTAACAAAGTAACGAGCATTGAATCGAATGTTTTATTTTATCATTAGTTATAACTTTAAAAAGTAATAAATTTATAAAACTAGTTGTAGAAAATGTAATAGCAAATTTCTAATATCATTGTCAGAATAAAATTATGAATAAATTATTGAATTAAAAAATAGTACATTTAGTAAGAGATAATTTGAGATTTCATTACATTATTTGACTTTCTACACATAACGGCTTTACCACTTTGTAGAAAACTACCTCTTATTAGCAATTATTTTTAATGGTAATATTTTTAATAAATTAAACCATCCAGAGTTATAAATATTTATGGATATTTCTTAGACTTTTTCTTTACTTTTTATTAAACTTATATAATACTCTATTGGATACTTATTAATTAATTTTTATATTTAAATATGATTTTTTGAAAAACTCATTAGTAACTCGTATTTTATTTTATTATATGCTTTTTAAATTATTATATAACTTGAATTAATATTTACTGCGAGTATTACATTTTTATTCAAATTTTCTTAATTATAATGATAAGCTTTTGGGATATTTTCTTTGATAGTTCTAAAATTTATAGAAAATGACCAATTTACAATACAATTGAGAATAGTTTTTATACAATTATTTACAATTAACTTACTTAATGTAGTTTAACTGTACCCATTGCAAATTAGAATAATTAATTAATAATGCTTAATGAAAGTATCAGATCTCGATAATTATTTGTCTTTTATTATATTTTATTTTCCGTGTGTGATGTAATGTTATAAATGCTCCTACTAAAATCCGCCTAGAATTATTATGTGTAAGGTTAAAAGTAAACTAAAAAAAACAACCGTTAAATAAAAATTACGAAATTACCTGGACTTGGTTGCGACCTTTAGTTATACGATACGAACACTCATAAAAAATCTATAATGAGAAAAATGTTCACTCATAACGGTTTGAAATTTATTTTCCAATCATTAAGCACCGATCATCGCGAACCAATTACGCGTAATCAAAGAATATTTCAATACATATTTTATATCATTCGGAAAATTAACTTTTCCTTATTTCTTATTACTGATGCAAATGGAAAACGTAAAAGTTTATTGAATAGAAAAATTATATTTTTATTTATTGTATAAAAATTGCATTCGTAACGTATCAAATAACGTTTAAATAACATTTTACGGTCGATCGGAAAATCGTTAATTGTAAAATTCCGGAAAATTTAAGGAAAATTTAACATTTTAGTTTTGATAATTTTTCATGTTATTCATATTTTCTACACTAATAGTTTTTCCTATTTAAAATATCGCGTAAACTAAATAATAAAGAATTAAATAAAAATTTATACAAAGAATATATTTAACGAAATATTTTTTCAATATATTAATTTAAGTATTAAATAAAGATAGAAATATTCAATAAAATGTACCATAGAATCCAGTATAGTGTATGTAAGATAGTAGTCGGTAAATAGATTATAAACTTTAAATTTACGTATTTAAGAGTTAATTTATAGTTTTTATAATTCTCTTGATATTAACTAAAGAATTTATTTCATAAATTTTCTAAATAATTATAAAATTAACATCCTTCTTCTGTATTCATAAGCATTTATTTAGGAAATCAAGTGACATGTCAGTAATGCAACAATGTCATGTGTCAGGTTACAAAAATTACGAATATAATGCGTAATATAAAAGCCATTTATAAAATTTTAATTATCGATAAAAAATGTTCGTTTTTCGAACGAATCGAAATTCAGTTAATTATTTGATGTTTTATAATTTCAAAATAAAATGATTGTATAAATCGTTTGTTTAACGATTTTCATCTTGATTTTTCTCCTACATACACATGTTTATTCATGTTTTTACTCTAAATGGGAAACTAGATGATTATTTTTGCATGATTTGTTCTTTTTTTTTTTTTTTTTTTTTTTTTAAATTTTATTCTAAGTTAGAACGACATTCTGTATAAATTTAATATCATTGATAGTAGAATATTCAAACGATACTTCATTGTAAGCAATTTGTTATTACTTAATAGTACTTAAAATACTTAGAATACAGAATTTCTAATTCATTTGTATTTTATCCTCTTACTTTAACACGATGAATAAATTATTACCATTAAATGATAAGTACTTTGAACAAATAAATATATTAATACTTGTAATTTTCTTTACACAATACACAAATTAATGAAATAAACTGAAAAGGTCATATTAATTTTGGCAAATACGCATCGTTAAATATACTTCGATATTTTTATTATTTTTTATTAGAAAGTATTAAAATGGAAAATGAAGGTACTTGATAATATTATGATTTACAAGAATAATTTTTATTTAGCATTACATCATTTATAACTTGGCATTATCAATAGACTTTCGGATAAAAGAAGAGATTGAAGAATAATATTTTAATTATTCCATTCAAATATATTTGGTTAATTCAATTCCTCTATTATGTTTTATTTTCACTAATGTTATTCAATTATGTATACTAATGATTTCATATGAATGTAAAATTTATTCATTTCAATTATCTTCGTATGAGATTTAATCTAGAATTCTTAAATAAACTGCTTTTCCTCGTGTTCAATTTAATTTCTATGTACTACAGACATAAGGCAAAGAAATCCTACTTAAAATTCTCTTATTATTTTTTCTTGTTTTTACAAAATTTGCAATAAATACAATTCTAATTATTTAATTATATTCATTGTAAAATTATACGCAATATTATTAAAATTATCATTATTACTAATACGCATACAGCTTTTTGTTTTTTTTTTCATTTTATTTGAAAAAAATTAAAAAATTAATTTAAACATTTGACCATTTTTGCTTTTTACTACCAATTTGACGAACTCTTATGTTTATAAATTGCTAATATTCCTTCTACATTTATTGATTTAAATATTTAATTACTTTATATCGATTATGAATGAATTCAAAGTATATTTTGATGAATGGTGTTAAAAACAAACAAGGAAGAAATAAAATGTGATTCTAAATTTAATATTTTCTCTTTGTTACTTTCCCTGTACTCACATTTATATCAAAATAATGGTTCGTTTTTACACTTATATACGTAATATATCATTTTTCATTGATTTAAATTTGACTGTAGATTCCAACGTACAGTATATATGGAATATTAATTTCTATTATTTTGTCAATAACTTCGCAATATATTAATGACACTGTAGTAGATAATTTAATTCTTGGTAATCATAATTTATGTCTATTACAAGTGTAACATATTACCAACGTTTTTATTTTTTTTTTTTTTTTTTATCTTATTATATATTTATATATAATATTTATATATAATTTATATAATATATATTTATAAATACCATAGTTTTCTTTTTGTTTTGAATGCAATAATGTTTTAAAGTATTTTTTTATCATATTTTCGTATATTCAATATTTTAAAATAGTTTTATATTGCTATTTATGGAAAATACAAATTATATGTATTCAATATGGAAATTAATCAGAAAATTTTGTGAAAATTTGTATTATAATTTTTAGAGAACATTAATATGATAACCTAACTTTATAATAAAATAATAATAATTCGTTATATTGATGTAGCAGAATCTAAATCATTTATAAGTAAAAGTGTTATTTTGTCATGATTGTGAGCTTTTAAGACAAGGCTTGACACAATTTAGAGATGCGTCGACGTAATCATATGAGTTGCAATCTCTAGGTTAACAACATTTTTGATTATCCACCTTGATATTTTCCGATTTATACATCAGCTGTTCTCTTAGTATTAGAGAGAGAGAGAGAGAGAGAGAGAGAGAGAGAGAGAGAGAGAGAGAGAGAGAGAGAGAGAGAGAGAGAGAGTCTGGGGAACACTGAGATTACTTCGGAGCTTAAACTAGGTAAGTACTGTCGCATGAGCTTGCAAGTGATTTGTCAAATAAATTGTCTTTCTTATTCAGTTCACAAAACATAAAATTTTTGGAATTACCAAACTATC